TTGAAGTTTTTAATTACATTTAGTCAAGTTACTGCAGTTTAATAGAAATTAATACCTTTTTTATTTAAAATGCAACCTTAAAAGCTCAAGTTCATATTTTGTTATGGCAACAAAAACAACAAAAATTTTCTGCAATGTTAAGCAAATCGCAAAGGCGAACAGCGAACTTAAAGCATAAAAAGTAGTAGCCAAAAACGCATTTGTATGCCTTGAGAGTAAACAGAAAAATTTTGAGTGAAAAAAATTGGGTGTCGCAGATAAAAGTATAGCTGAGCAGACTTAGCTTAAGCTATGGGTTGACGTAATCCATATAAGAAGGCAGTTCTGGGGGGAAAAATGCACGCAAGGTTTAGAAGTCGGAGAGGGTTTTGAGAAAACCTAAAAAAAAAAGGAAAACTAATTTTGTTTTTTAGAGGGCATAAAGATCAACGAAAAAAAAATAGGTAATCTCAATAAATACGCAGTAATTTAGGTTATTAATACAGTGTCTTTTGAAGCACCCAATAATCTCCGTTTACCAAACCACTTTTATATACCAATTTTTTCAATAAGAGCAATTTGTTTTCGGTTTTCATTTCACGATCTCGTTTAATTATAATGCATTGTAAGCTGCAGTGCTTTTATAAAGATAACTGGTGTGATTGCAACGAGCACTGAATTTCCTACAATTTAAACCCTCAGACTGTCAGCACCGTTTCTGTATACTAACACCTTCTCTCATACCTGAAACTACAATAAACTTGTGGTGCGCTGTATTTTTCTTTTTTTCAGATGATAACTGAGTCTAAAAAATCTTTTAGTTACTTGGAGAAGCTATGGTGAAGAAAATTTCCTTTGTAGAGGATTTCCTTGTAACTTTCCCTTTGTTATGCTTGTGGTTAAGGCGTAAGTCGTTTTTGGCATTTTTGTACAGTGCGTAAAGCGTACCAATTCACAATTGCTCGTTCTTGTTGAAAACGTTTACCAGGCAATGACAAAGTTTCATCATTAGGCCTTATTACGAATTGAAAAATATTAATGTTTGGAAATTTTAAAAGGCATCGAAATAAGGTTTGAAATGTTTTTAAATGTTGCAAACAAAATTTCTTGTAACTCGCAGGAAATTGGGGCAAATAAAAACTGTTGATCATTTACCGGAGAGTCGGAAGCATAATTTTTGAGAGAATTAAACCGATTTTCTTTTTGCATCAACAGGTTTATGATTTGGTAGAAAACAAGTTTTACTTTTTTTTCTTTGAATTTTTTCCTATAAATTTGTTCAAAACTGTAACGCTGTATTTTTTAACCCTAAAATAATAGAAAAGTTTCAAATTGATCTATATTCAATGGTTCAGTGTAATTGCGAACTTTAGATCAGCAATTAAGACTATTTTTTTTTCAAAGTGCTTTTTTTCAATTATTATCAGATTGAAAAAATATTATAGCAATAAAATCACCTGAAATTTCTCTTATTAATTAAAATGCACAAAATTTCATCATCTTAACAAGTTTCAACGCAAATTAGAGTGAAGATAACGAATTTCTATGAGGGTTTAAAGTTTGACGAGTGTTCATCCTAAACGGCCCAAACAGTAACCAATTAGTTTTTCTTACAACTCAACAAAATTTTTTTTTGTCTTTTTCAGCGGAATAAATGCTGCGTTGAAAAAGGAGAAATGCAATTAGCAAAGTATAAAATGCTGCCAAGATCAGTATCGGCTGACCGATTTGGTGATAAGAAATATCAGACAATTACAGTTGAAAACATTGCTCGGTACAAACTAATAGTGACAGATGGTAGTTAGAAAGTTGAAAGTTGTTGAACAAAAATATGAAGTAAAAATACACTTAGGCAATATCATTATTTTCAGATTTTTATTTGAAAGAACTTGAAAGAACGTGGTCGAACGTAGTCGGATAATCTTTTAAGTACCTGTAAATTGCAGAGCAATACAATTATTGTACAACCATTTCAGATCTTTAATTTCTTGGCTGATATCTGAAGTTTGAATTTATTATATATGCCCTCAGTATGGTGCTGTTTTGCCAACGAAAACTGTTTAAGGTTTCAGCAGTTGCAACAACAGCCATTTCAGAACAGCAACAACAATAACTGCGCTGTCAGATAGGCAGCTCAGTTGTAAATAACGATAAAAAAGCAGTTTTTTTTGTCTAATAGTTTTCCTTTTATGTTA